CATGTGGGATCACGCGTGTGGGTTTGACCTTCCGTTGCTGATGCGGCTCTGTAGCTAGTCCGTTGGCTGCGTGCCGTCCCCTTTCTGCCCCGCGTCTTTACTTCAACACCCCGCACAGTGACCTGAGACCGTGTTGTCGCTTCTGTTCCCGACATCGTCACCCGACGCGTCAAAAGATTTTGATGGGAAGTTGTTGTGTATCCAGGAAGGCAAGATCCCTATTTCGTCGTCCAGTTGGGGCAAAAACACTTTGTGTCCAAGGTTGCCACAGGTAACGTACCTGAGAATCGCGGCCTTGTCAAAGAGCTATTTGACCTTGTGTGGATCTTCGTGCAAGAGCTCACTGATGCGTCGTGCACGCCTGTGGAAACCGCTCTCCAGGCCGACCGGCTTGACTGTCTGGTGAAAAATGGCTGTGCAAGCCCTCAGGCATGCAACCATTTTCCGATCGAGATCAAACAAAGCCACATTGCACCTGACTGGTTGTACATTTCCTGAAATACGTTGTAAAATGCGTTGACTCTTCTATCAAGCTTTTCCCCTGGGGGCAGCTGTTTCAAGGATGATACAAGACTCTGTTCCTTGAATTGTGTTCTATCCCCACTGGCAAGGTTATGGATGAAGAATGCGTGTTGCTTGAATATCAGTGGTATTGGTGTACCAGTACAACTCCTGTCATTGCAAATTTCTCTTGCAGATGCGGGGACAAAGCCTGTGTGGAATGAGCGCTTCATGTTCGATGTGACAGATGAACAGAGGTTGTACATCACGGTGCGGAATCGTTTGTGGGTCTTCTTCTCTGATTGTCTTGTATTCCTGCAGTGGCCTGCATTTATGCTTTGCGACAAGTGTCAATGCGTGGAGTGCTGGCTGTGAGGAGACGCCTTTGGCCATCTACCTCTGACGATTGCAGATTTTGCACAAATGGTGTGCATGGTGCATGTTCTCTGTTTGCCTTGTTGTGTACGCTGGCCCCTGTTGCCATGCACAATGTCCATCTATTGAATGGCCTTTCTTTGTTTTGGATCCGCTGAAGAACTTGATGTGTAAACGTAGATAAAGAACAAAAATACCATTACTACAGATGACGTCTTGGGCAATTCAGAGATATCTCTTGAGCAGGTAATTCCTTCAATTCTTCCAGTGCCCTTTTCGCACGTTGTTTATCATATTGTTCCACGATCGGTGCACTGCTGGGCATTGTCAACTGTGGGAAACCAATGCTGGTGCTGTGCACTGGACACCCTTTTTCCAGTTTCTCTATTTGCTCGTTGTAAGTGGAAATGACAACACCCGTGGAGCAAATGCTGTGGACAAAGCTGTGCAGCGAGTGTATTTCCTTGTCAGCTTTTGGCAAATGCAATCGACTGGATTGTCACCAAGGCCATGAGTCCTGGTGGTCGTCGTTGGTGTAAGACCCTTCTTTTGATGCCTTGTAGGTGTTTAGAGAGGGAAAACTTGACGCTCGTCCACAGGTTATAACCAAGACTGGGCAAGTGCGGGGGGAGCTGCAAGTTGTGCTGCTGTTTCAACACAAGAATGCACAGGTGACACTGATGTGGAAGTGTGGATGCGAATTGTAAGTCTGTGATTGAGGACTTGGATGAGGAAATTCTGAATTCTGAAGATATCCTATCTGTCCATTTGGAGGCTCAGGGCGATGTTGTATGCCTCTGTCCTGTTGGTAGCCCAGCACCTCGTCAATGCAGAGTAAAGTACATGGTTTAGACATGCAGCAAAGTACACCAATTGATGAACCTGCCTTCTTTTGCCCTGTCAGGCACCCCAGTCATATGCTGCAGCTCCGTATCCCGGCCCTGGTGCCTATGCTGCTCCTCCTCCAACCGGGTCCTATGGCACCCCCATGCCCCCTCCTGGTTATGCACCTCCTGGTGCTTATGGCGCTCCTGTAGCCCCTCCCACCTATGCTGCTCCTGCAGCGCCTCCTCCCGCTGGTGCCCCTGCTGGGTACTTTCCCCCGGGGCCCTACCCAGCAGCACCTGCCCCTCCAGCAGCTGGGCAGCCGCCCATGGGATATGGCTACGGTGCCCCACAGTACCCCGCAGCCCCGCCTGGGAGTTTTCCTCCAACATACACACCACAGGTATGCCCTCCAGACCCAAAGGACCCAAAGTTGTCTGATGTGGAATTTTGGCTGCATCATATTTACAATCGCCAAGTGCAAGCGACAATAAGGAAATTTAACCAGGCATGAGTTTGTAGGAGCAAGGGAAGTGCTTGGTCATGTGACTCAAGGTGCAATCAAACAGATTGCTCACAGTGATCTGTTGCGACTACATACCTGCAGTGAAAAGGGCATTCAGTTTTACTTTAGTTGCGATCTGCTGCATACCTACCATGGTAGTGTACCATGATCGTAAGAAACGGTTGTAGTCCAGGCTTCGGTGAATTCGATGTTGGGCCAGTGCTGTTTTAGTACAATTGTAATACCTTTGCGGAGATGTAGCTCATTGCAGCTTATCAGATTTCGTTGTTGAGGGAAACTCCTGGGCAAACATGGCACCGGGTTGTCTCATCAGAATCATGCCTAGCGGTGCATGATAGCCCAGAAGATTTTGCGACCCCAGCCTGTGTTTGGCCAATTGTCTGAATGCATGGGCGGCTGATTCGAGGCATGGAGATTCAGAGATTCCACAAAAAGCTCCGCTTGTCCCACAACGCAGCTGGTTCATCTTGTGGGTTTTGTCGCAATTGACACACGCCCAAGGGTGTTTCACTGCAGCGGCTACATGTCTGTGATGCTGGTTGTGGTATCCAATGTGTGACGAGGCGTGTAAGACATACGCATGTGGAATGTGCACTGAGTAAAGTGCTATTTAAATGGCATGCCCTCTCACCTCCGAAGGTGTGAATGGGTGCGGTTGACGTTCACTTCCAACAGTATTTAGATTCCCTCTCACCCTGAAACATCCTTAAATGGTGGCCTCGCAAGATGCACATTGGCAATGCTGTTTGGCCGAACAGCGAGCACAATTCCCGGATGGGCTGTTTCCACTTGATCTGCAGGTTTCCATTCGAGCACACATGAAGGCTAATGGCTGTGTCAGAAGGCTGTGAATAAGTACTGACCCGCCAATGTCTGCTTCAGCACAGCGCAGCTCCAGTGGCTGGCTGACCTGAATGGGTGCCTGTGAAGCCTCTTTCTGTATGGAAGTTGCGTCTCCTTGCTGACAGTTGGTAGCTTCATTTGTTGCAGAATCCCTATGGAGCGCCTGGGCCACAGCCTGGAGGGTATCCGCCCGCTGGTGGCGGCTATGGTGGGTATCGTGGTCTTCCTGAAAATGACGGTGAGTGTGGAGACCGCCTGGGAAGGACGCGTCAGAGCCGGCTGTTTTTTTTTTTTTTTTTCTCACCGATCTCTTAGAACCGATCAGAGCTGTTCCTGGACGGCTATTCAACAGCAAAGAGCCTGTTGTGCTATATTGCAGACAGGCAGTGACCACCGAATATGATTTTGTCCCGGGATCATGCTCCCACAGCAATGCTGCCTCAGCCACGTCATGCGCTCTTGTCCGCACTGAAGTGCAAGTTGAAAGGCACACACCACGTCGAATTGTCGTGATCGTGTTGGTCATATGACAAAACGGTCCTCTTGAATCAAATTTGGCTCTGGCAGGTGCTTGATACAATGATACGTGCTTTGCCATTCGTATTTGCTTGATGTGAGCTCGGGGGGCGCGGTATCTGGGGCACGCTGTGCAATTCAAACTCCAGTGGTGCAGGTTTCACGATGCACCTGTGTGTACTGCTTGTTGCAGATGCACCGTCTGTGTAGCGCGCCAATGATTCTTGCGACCAGAGCCTGCGGTGCATCGGGCTCCCTCTGATCAGAACGGGGAGGAGATGACATGAGACCCTTTCCCGTGCTGTGAAGACATGATTGTGAGATTCGCACAAGACAGAATGGCACACAACAGTAGTTAAACGATCTGGAAGATAACGAGTGACGGTGTTGCACAGGGGCCTAAGCTATGGGATAGCATAGAAATCCAGCTGTGGGTCGAATTTCGGGGGGCAGGACGGAAGGGGGTTTGTGGAAGGTTGTGACAGGGAATTGAAGACAGCGCTCATGTCGAGCTTGCTTCCGCATGTGAACATTCGCTGGATGTATTTCGTCTACACAGGACGCCTTTCGTTTGGCGCTTAATGAGGGGGCACGCAAGGCAATGCCTACCTGTAGCGCATTTTTAGTGTCCACACCAGTGTCACGGGGTCACAGCGACTGCTTTGCATCCTTGCCACTCGGGCCTCAGTATTTGAATTGAGAAGATTATCCAGGCTTATATTGCCATCCTGGTCTTTGCTGTAGTACGGGATGCACGTTTGCGCTCCGGAGGACTGCACAGTGTTCTATAAAATTCTGCAAAATGTTGCAAGCAGTCCTCATTTTCGAAGGACATCAAATATCAGCATATTCATCTGTTGTGAGGAGGCCAAAGGATGTTCAATGGGTCATCTTGTTACACGTAGCATACAACAGGCCCAGCATTCTTCCCACATCCAAGTTGCTGAAAAAAATAAGCAATGTTCGTTACTGTTCTTTCGCTGTTTTTCTTCTCGAAAAAATCAATAGAAACTCCCCATGCGAACCAGTTGCCACAACTCACGCGAAACCAGACAATCAGTAAAGCGCCTCACTCCATCCAATGTTTCTGGCATGTTTGCAAAGCTGGCGCCTGCCAGCCTCACATGCCTGTGGACTTGTCTATGTCTGCAATATACCTTTCCAAAGCTCCCATACCACGCCTCTGTAAATGACGGACGCGATTTGCCATGCCTACTGTTGAGTGGTGTTTTGATGAAATCCGGCGGCTTCCACATCATCCGCCACGGTGTGAGAGAGCCGCATCTGCATTTGCTCAGAAGGCGCAGCAAACGTTCCCATTCATATCAGCCAGTGCTGTACATCTGTACCCACCACATCGATGGCAGCCGTTCAACACTTTCCCGCCACTGCATCCGACGCGCAGCTGCGTGCTTCAGACCTTCTCAGATTTGTTCACCACGGTGGGGCCCTCAGCCACCCTGGCTATCACCGCAGGTGCCCTCTCGTGAAGCTCGACACCCCTCCCTTTGCCATGCACCACAATCGTCTCGATCGCGTGGTCCTTAAGCCCTTCCTCCCGTTCCTCCTTCAGAGCGTCATACTTGCCTTGCATCACGCTCAGGACGACGGTCCAGATGAAGGAAACGCCAGCGACATACGGCACCCTCAGGTGACGGGGCACAAAAGCGAAGTTGACGAGCTGTGCTGGCATCCAAATGGACCACAGGGCTTTGACGCTGTCCCAGAGCTCAGTCCTGTATTTGTTGAAGGCATAGCCCAGCGTTTCGCCCTCCACCGTCGCCTTGATCGAGTAGAAGACGGGAAAGTAAACGAACGGATGGCTGCAGGAAGAGCGAACAAAAAATCTCAGGGCCAAACGACGGAAGATACGAGTTCCACATGTTGATCAAAACACCGTGACAGAAGATCTTGAGATGAACATTTTCCATCATCATCTTCAAATTCCTGTTGATTGCGTTTGTCCAAGAGCGCAAACCCCAGCCTTGCATCTGACAGTCGAAGATGGGCACAAATCCATACACAACGACTGTTCGGAAACGTTTTCTGTGATTGAGTTTACCCACTAGTCCCCCACCATTACATGGGACTCATAAAGAAAAGAGAGAAAATCTATATTCCCCCCTACTCACTCGCACTCATGATCGACCTCGACCTCGGCCTCCTTTTGGGATTCCGACAAACGCATTAAACAGTGATATTCAAAATTGTCAAACGGTCAGAGATTGTTTTCAAAAAATCTCAAAGTCAAAAATAATTCGCAGGTCAGCCATTGCCACGTGCTCCAGGCCAGGAAATGGCAGGGACAACACAGAAACGCCTTTCAACGACAACAACTGCAAACTCGCAAATTCTGTTCTTGCTTGACGACAATCACCCCAACCACAGTGAACTGAGCCATTGAAACAAATCAAAGCTTTACCCCCGACATCTTGGCAGACCAGTTCATGCACGTTGTTGGAACAAGGTGAACTTTGTGCAAGCATTCGTTCAGTGCACCACAATTTCCATGCATTCGAGGCAACGAACACCAAGGAACGCCGTGTGTCATCACTTACTGTAAGCATTGATCCAGGAACACCTTGACAGGGCTCACACCAATGTGTCCCACCACTCTTCTGAGGGGCTCGCAGATTTGCACAAACTTGACATTGTACAACCAATATTGGAAGCCCCCCAAGTAGGCAAATCCAAACAGGCAGAATACTGAGTGCCGCTTCCAGTCCACCTCCTCCTTTCCCTCGATCACTTTCTGAGCAAAAAGGTCGGCTGCACTTGTTTTCAATCCACTGGTGATGACGCCGGTGGCCACAGGGTGAGCCTTTGCAGTTCTGTTGTACGCAAGGGCTGCGTTGACTATTGGTGAAGCAAGCATGCGTGCACACCGGCCAACGAACGACATCTTGACCTGAGCATGATACACTGGAAACTCAGCCAGGGCAACCAGCTCTGGATTGTGAAACAGGTTCCCTGAAATAAACCACCATTGTTTCTTATCACAGCACACTGCATGTCCATCCTGTCAATCCTGCTCCCAAGGCACAGCCAAAGTGTTGCTGACAAACACAACTAGCACCAGTAAACAAATTTAGAAGAAACCGATTGAGTACATTCCCATTGTCGCTACCCCTCTTTTAATTCCTGTCACTGCCTCTGGCACTATTGCAATGAAAACAGGGTACTTTGTTCCTGTCCTGTCGCAACTACAGTATTACATACCACCCTCCTGTTAGTGGGCAACGTTGGATGCTGTGAACATCCATAAGGTTTGTTCCAAAATTGCATTTTCCTTGTGTCACTGAACGACCCGAAGTGGGACATTCTCAGCTGATGAGCAACAGATCGTGTCCCATTCGTGACTGCACAAGTATGTGAGCATGAGGATGGCAATCTATTGGCTGATGAACCAAGTGATATACAGGGGCGACAGGAAAATTCTCTCTGTTGCTGACTGCTGCCTCCAAGCCCATGGACAGAAAACCAGCACCCCTTGCAGAAGCACACGATCAGGAGCTCGTTACAATCTGCCCAAGATACCAGTTTCACAGTTCAACAAGCACGAAAACCAGAAGCATGGGCACATGCTGCCAATCATTAGTGCCAGCAATCTGAAGCATGGCTCAATCAATCTTTTCTGTGCCCTTCTGGTTTATCATGCACAAGTCACAATATATAGGCTGCTAATTTTAATCTGGCACAAGAATCCAATGAGCTTCATGGACAAGGACAGAGGAGGATGGGAGACAATGTGCCCAATGCCACAAATAAGCGAATACCCTGTGCATTTTTGAGCCCTACTCTTGGCAAATTTTCCCAGCAACCTGATTAGCAAATGCCCAACGCCGTTCCAAACTGAAAGTGCAGCACTCTGGTGCATGTGCCCGTTGCAACAACTTCTCAGGTCCCTGGCACCCCAGCTGTGACTGATGCCTGACTTTGTCGTCGCCACCAGAATTGTCACAGCAAGCGTCGCCTGACTCTAGACTTATTTCTTACTGTATCAGTGCCCAGCTTGCCCATTAATCGGACATTTTCGGACATTAGTGCCGGATTGACACGCACCCGTTTCTTGCTCATATCCCACACCTTCGCAAGAGCAAAGGAGCAGACCTGCATATCAACTTTCACAGCGCGACCAAGAGTCTCAAGCATTTCGATGATACGCACCGGGTTGGGGGGAACGGTTTTTTGGGGGTGGGGGCAAACGTATTGCCTGTTCAACAATCCTGTGAATCAGCAGTCGCTTCGAAAGAAAGTGTGCCACTGACCGCGGTCCCAACGGACACCTCCCCAAGCCACCGGGGGAGGGACTCGCAACGCGCCTGCGCGAAAATGTTGAGTGCATCGACACCGCGGCATCTCACTCTCCCGTCGTGCCTCTCTTACGCGACCACTCCAGGCCCTCCCACAAGCTCGCTGTCGCAAAGCTGGTAGGCACAGATCTAGCCGTCGCGCTAGTCGCAGTCGAGGCGCGCCAAGAAGATCGACGCGGCATCCATGCCAACTATAGACAGAAAAGCGCGCACGCCCACCGGAGGATTCGAGGTGGGGTAGGTTGGGGCGGATGGGCGCTGTGGGCACAGCAGGCCACATCTCGAGGCAAGGTTCACACCCCGGGCCCATTCTGACATGGGCCGCGGACGCAACGGTCCAGAACGCGCCACGGCTCGATCGCCGCGCAGGGTTCACTGTTTCTTACCGCGTGCTGTTTCTCTCTTGTGCCTCGCTAAGCGCAGCGCGGGCCGTGTTGAGGGCGACGGAGGGTGGACGCGGACGTGGCGGCCACAGTTGTGCTGCAATGGCGGTGTGCCGATGCTTCAAGCCAAAAGAAAGAGATCATCGGCGCCAACAGGACAGCGGCCCTACCACCAAAATGCGGCCTGCAACACCAACCACCACAGGCAGGACCGTTCGTGGGGTTGGTGTTGGACCGCGAGTGCTGACTTGGTGGCATCACACCCAACACTGGGTGGCATATGTTGTCCTATCACACCCAGCACTGGGTGGCATGGATCGTCCCATCGCACCCAGCACTGGGTGGGCATTGTTGATATCATTGAAGGACACATGATGGGCATCTTGTGGAGCATATCGCGCGCCCCACAACTATGCAACCGAATTTTACGGATTTGTGTGTTCTGATGCACAGGAACTCAGTGATTGGATTGTGGTAATTGACAAAGTTCCTTAGCCATCCCAGTTCGAGATCCCGCTTGTCGCAATCGAATGCACACAGCGATGGGCCACAACGCAGCACAAGCCAGGCCGTTTTGGTTCGACCTCTGTGGCAGCCTTGGTGCATGAGGTGCTCAAACGCACTCACTGTGCCTGGTCGGACGAGCAGCCAAGACTCACCTTGTTTGAAAACCAAGCCAAGAGAAGCCCTGAACAAGTCTCACGCTCTCTTTAAATACCAGAGTGTGCCTCTTTTTTCGCCCACCAGAACTCACATTCAGAACGGTGGACTGAACTCACACTCCACACATGCACAACACACCATCCCACAGCACCGACCCACAACTCCAACTCATAGTACCAGCTCACGATCACCAAAATTAGTAAAATTAAGCTACTCTTTGGTCAGCCGTCCTCCCCTCCTCTCAATCAGGTCGAGGAGCGCATCAATCAGCCAGCACATGACCAGCTGCTTGCACAGCATGATATCTGCGGCTGTCTTGGTGTGTCAGACTTTCATATCTTTAGACTGGCTCTTTTAAACTGTATCCACTTTTCTCATTGAGTTTCACAGCACATCAGTGTTCAGCCACCGACATCCAGTCATGAGGACTGGAAAGTTACATGTGAAACGTCGAGAAAGGGCGACAGCCATTCAAGGATATGGTTGATGGCATTCCCTGAAACGGGGTTCTCATATGCCACCATTGAACCATCGGATTACAAAAAATCAGTAATTGACAGAGGCAGATCAGTGATCAATCACTGGTAATTCGAACAACAATATCTTGGGTTCTAATTGAACAAACCACTAACACTGCTTTGCTCGGGCGAAATAGGGAGCTGCTGGTTACCGCCATGCCTTGATAGGCAGTATTTCTTGGCGATGACGACAAACAAAAATACAACATGTAATAGGCCCTGGCGCCACTACTTTCTTGTGCGAGGTTTACACTGGTGAGGGACCGTACTGTGGCCAGCCAGGATAGACAGAAAGTGGCCACACTCTGTCGGCTTTGACATGCTCAGCGTAAAATTGAAGCGCAGGTGGTCAGAATCGTGACGCTAAGAAGCTACACCATTTCCACAAAATCGACATAGGCTGCGAAGGCCCTAACTGTCCTTGCCTTGCTCAAAACCTCCCTCAGTTTCTCCGCCTCTTTCGAGGAGGTCCCAAATATGTCGCAATTGATAGCAGATGGGGCTGTCACCCACGCCTGCCATCCAATGGCAGCTTTGACTGTTTTCCTTCCTTGTTAAGCATTCTCCGCCTTCACCACAATATGGCGACGCTCATTCTTCTGTGCTAAGTGTTGTATCTCGTTTCAGGCCAATGTTGTTACCACCTGAATGTTGAGCCATGCCGTCATCGAATCGTACCTCTATTTGGGGCTACAAGAACACTGCTGTTACATGTTACAATGTCACAAAACTATGCAACCTGATGCGTTCTCTGTTGGAGAACAAGACCCAGGCACGCTCCAGTCTGCAAAGGAACGCGTCCAAGACCCACTTTGACGAGACTTGGCGGAGGGCTGGAATCACATTTCTCAATTTTAATGGCGTGGTCAAGGAGTTGAAGGGTTGATTGAGTCGATAGGGATACTGCAAGGAGCCGGGCTGAGGGAAACGTGTTGGAGTCAAAGGGAAGTCAAAAGATCCACAGAAGCGTTGTGCAAGCTATCAGGCTCGTCTGAACTCGCTGTGCCATGGGAGCTATACATCGACGACGTGTTGATTGTCAAGAGGGACAGACCAGATGAACAACAAGCAACTCTAGCAAATTCGGTGTGGCAGCTTGTGAATTATTTCTTCGCAGTTGTCCTGTACTTGCTGTGGACGCCTCTCGATTCTGTGCGGGAAAGATGGTGTTGGCTGCTGGTGTCACTGTAGAGATCCGCGCTTTCGTTCGCATGGCTGTGGAGCTGGCTGAGTGTGTTGTCATTTGCTGTCAATGCTGAGTTGTTGAGTATGGAGGAAAAGAAAAGAAAACACACACACACACACACACACACACACAATTGGAACGAGGAATCGCTGGGAGACTCCTGGGAACATTCAACGCGAAGTCCTTGTGTTAGGGGTCGCCATCGGAGCATTTCATAGGGTGGAGCAGTTGGCGATTCTGAAAGTCTAGAGCACCAATCTTTGTGCTCTGGCATGGAAAAGGGCAGGGCTCCGAACTGAGCTCCGCAAATCAGTGGCATTATGTGAATTGGCCTATTTACAGACCAGCGCATCCGTCACTGTGAAGCAGAATCATGGGCGATGCAGCAAGGAGCGTCTAGTGCGCACAAGAGGAACGACAAACGAAAGGAACTAGCAAAATAGGAAGGGAACTTTCAGTTGGGGGTCGCTGTATGCCGAATGGCGAAGTCTCAAGATTTGGAGGGGCTTGGCATTCATGCCAGCAGCAATTCCCTGCAAGCCATGGCAGTTTCCTTGGTGCAGTAGCTTCTCGATTTTAGGTTATCTGTTGGCAACTTTCACCAATTCGCTGCTGCGAAAGTGCGGCATCCAATTAACTTCTGTCGTCTTGGTGGCTAGCGAAAACATCCAAGACACTGGAGTTTCAGCAAAATAGAGGAGGTTCCTTCTGTGCAGAAGATGAACTTCGACCCCACCTGTACAGCGCCTTAAAGGGCAAGGAAGGCCTTGGATAGCTGATACTGAGGTCTTGTTCTGGGAGACTGGTGGCACCTGCTACAATTCCTTTAGGAACTGCTGATGCCTTTGAATCTGACTGGCAACGGCTCTAGGGAGGGCCTCAAGAGGACCAAACTAGGATTCGTGGGAAACCCGTCAGCTAGCCATATCCTTGAATATGGTGGTCAGGCTCACAACCAGGCCCTCTTTCTGCCCATTTCCCACCAGCCATGCGTTGATCTGACCAAAACTTCGTCCTTGTGAGTTCCTCGCCCCCAAATGACAATTGATGCACCCAGACCATGCAGATTTGTGGCCAACAGTTGATTCAAAATTAACTTGCTTTGTGTCAAGGGGCTCAGTATTGTCCAGGGAGTTTCCACATGCGTCGGTTGCTCCAACATTTGTGACTGAAAGGGCATCGATTTGCAGCACATGCACAATGCTGCAGCTTTCAGATCAAGTGATCTGGATCACATGCAGCAAGTTGTCACCAGAGGCTCACATCTCTGGTCGAATGCCTTATAAACATCGTCCCTGCACCTCACAACCTTATGGGCCATTGGGGCCATCCCATGCAAATTGCACACGCCTTTGGCACATCTACCTGTTTTTTTGTGAAATCAAGTCGCATGATATGTCCAAATTTGTCTGGAACAGTGCCTGTCGGGGACTCCACATTCTTCTTGTCTAGTTGGCCTTCTGCAGTTGATGTCCAGCAGTGTCCTGAACAAGGATTCTGATTAGATGGACATGAACAGCACATCTGGGACATCAGCTCTGGGTCATGCATGTATGGTTGTGTTTGTGTCATATTCGCTCACCTTCCAGTATGCCCTCAACACCTCTAATAGCAATGTGTGAAACCAGGTGCCTCTTGTGTAGATTGTCATCACACGAGCTGGCATCCCATGCACATGTCAACATCCCCATTCCATGGTGCCCCCAGTCCCGCCTAAGCTGCCAGAACACAACCATTTCCTAAGGACATGTTCTAATATTCAGCTGTGGCTTGCATGCATTAGCATGACAAACAGCTATTTCCCAAGTAGTGAACATCAGGGCCTGGCTACAACATTGTGAGCCATGCTAGGACAGATCGTTTTGGATGTATACATACCTGTCCTTGCCTGCAAGGTGACCCCAACTTGTCTTGCAAAGGCAAATTGAAACACAGGAATTTAGCGGGCTGGACAGAGCACCATTTCCCATCTCCAAACAGGTGGACAGAGATTTTCAAACGAGCAGCAATCACACAGCTGGCAACTCCCCAGAACACAGTGAGCCCTGGTAAAACCACATTGGAGCCCTAGACCTGAAACGCTGCAAGCCAATGCTGCAAGCAATCGCACATGTTGACAGCAAACCACGCATGTAAGCTCAAATTACAACAGAAAGGCTTTGTATTTGTGCACATCCCCAGCCACTCACAGATCTGAGGATAAGAGTCTCAAAACTTTTGATGATCACGACCATCTCCTGTCTCTCCCCGAAGGGTGCCACAACACAACTACAGCACCAAGGTCGCATAAAACCCGTCCCCGGGGGGCACAACCCTCCTGCACAGCGCCCAGCCAGGTGTCAATCTGTCCCTCACGCGGCCCAACAACCCCGACTGCCGAACGGGCAATTGCACACATCCCACCACTGGCCATCCCCGCTTTCCGCCTGTCATAAAGCCAACAGCGAGTTGAGAAAAAGTACTCGGTGCCTCCCTCCGCGCAACACAGCCCACCCGGCCGGCTTCCCGCGCCACCCGAGCCACCAGGGCGGCGCCGCAGAATCGGCAACTAGCTGGCCGACGCGGACCCCGAACTGCTTAACCTCGCCTGCAGATACGCCGTCCTCGAGTATTTCTCCAACTTGTATACCAACAGGGAAGGCATCAAGACGCCCAACAGAGCCTGAATTTTCCACCCGAACACCACGCACACCGCCACAAAGTCGCGCTCGTCGCAAATCACCGGCGTGCCAATCGTGAACATGCCCAGCACCTCGCACGCTGGCCCTATCAGACCCGCGGAGACCCGTGACTGCAGGCAACTGGAGCAGGTCTGAAAGTTGTGCGCGGCTCGCAGGAGCATCGCCACAGACTGCACCACCAGGTGGTGGCGAAAGCGCAGCGGGAATATGATCGTGTCCAGCAGCGAGCGCCACACGCCGAAGGCGCTGAGCAGCATGGACGGCAGCATCGTCCACGACACCTGGGTGTCCGCGCTGCACACCATTACTTGCATGAACGTCGTGGCCAGGGGGTTGACCACCAGCCGCGTGAACCACATAACCAGGTCATGGTGCTTTCCCGATATCTTGCACACCGCCCCCACCGCCCCGGCGATGAAGCTCAGCAGCGGGATTATCGTGGCCAGGTTAATGCCCGGCGACGAGCTCTGCGTCCCGTACAGGGTCATGAATCCCAGCGGCACCGAAGACAGGAAGACGCCCATGACGCCCCCCACAATCTGCACAATGTGCAGGTGGTTCTCCCTCAGTGAGGACCACCACTCCTCCTCGTGCTTGGCGTTCTTGAAGGTCAGGAACCAGGTCACTTCCTCATTGCCCGCCATCTCGCGTCACAGAGCCGGGGGAGGAGGCCACCAGACGACAGCCACCATGGTACGTGGGGTGGTGCCTGCGCGCTTCGACGGGACCCACGCAGGCAGTTGTTCCCCGGGGCCAATGCGTACACGGGCAAAGGGGTTCGCACGATGGCAGCGCATTGAAGCCGCCAAATACACCAAGGAAAGGAGAAGAAACTCTGTTTTTTGGCCAGGTCGCGGAGGGCGCTATTGCGGGGCCCCTTACAGTACCTCGTGCAGGGCACCTTCCCGCCATTGTGTGCGGCCAGCAGCGCCCGTGGGCACAGCAAGGCGCCCCCGCCCACCCGCACCCCGCGCGACACGCCGCTCGCTCGCCGCTGCAGGGGCACCGCAGCCATGGGAGGCGACGAACAATACGTCCCAGACGAGGTGGGGCGCGATCATTGGCAGGCGATCTCACCGGACGTTTCGCTCTGAAGCGCCTTGTTGGGGTCCCCGCGCCTGCCTCTGATGGCCGTCGGCGAGGGGCGTTCATCGCAGGCCGGCGATGAATTTCGAAGCCGCTGTGTCGGGCTTGGCCAAACGCGCGGGGGCGGGAGGCGTGGGGCAGAACAAGGCACACGGACAAGAGCAAAAGCGGAGTTGGGGCAGCCGGGGGAAAGAGGGGAAGCGTTCTGACGGTGGTGTTTGTGGATCCACAGGACTTTGAGGAGGTGAATCGAGAGGGATCGGTGAGCGACCCCGGGGAGGGGGCGCCAGGGGACGATGACTACGAGAGCGCGGACACGGAAGATGAGGAGTTCGCCGGCGACGTCGAGCTGTCCTCACCCACGAAGCGGGAGATCGCGCGGAGGGAGAAGGAGCGGCTGCGTGAGATGGAGCAGCGCAAGCGCGACATGCTGGAGTCGCTGCGCACGCAGCAGAATGCGAGCGCGGCGTCGGGCGAGGGGGAGCGTTCGCGCCTACGGCTGAAGTACCTGCTGAAGCAGGCGGAGGTGTTCCAGCACTTCGCGCCGCAGGCGATGGGGGACAAGGCCAAGGGGAAGGGCCGGCACGGGAGCAAGTACACGGAGGACATGGAGGACAAGGAGCTGCTGAGGGACGAGGAGGAGGACGAGCTGGGTGGGGCGGTGCACAGGCTGCAGGTGCAGCCGTCCGTTGTGGTGGGGGGCACGATGAGGGACTACCAGATGCAGGGCCTCAACTGGCTGGTCCACCTCTACATGAACGGCATCAACGGCATCCTGGCGGATGAAATGGGTGGGTGGCTCAGAGTGAGGCTGAGTGGACTGGCTTGAAACTGCATCCCAACCTTTGGAGCGCCCGCATTGGGCGATCGAAGTGGAAATGGGATCGCAGATGGCAAACAAGCGCTGTGCTGCCTCCTGGGGCTGTCCATCCAGCCAGATTCGACTCACACCGCTGGATCCAGTGAACAGTTCTTGAATATTTGCTCAGCGATTGAGTATGCTTGCCTCATACCTATTCCAAGATCCCTGCAGCTGATGTATCTGCCCGTGGCCCCCACCGACCTGTTTGGTCGTTTGCGATCACGAAAAAGGATATCTGATACTGCACCTGGGGTGTGGTTGCTTCTTCACTGGCCAAGGTTACTAGTCATCTCGGTCATGGGAGGCAAACCACCGGTAACCAGTTTCCTTCTGACAACTCTTTGCCTTTCATGCGATCGAAAGTGTGCGCTGAGCGGATGTGAAAACGTGGGGTTCTGTAGCTGCCAGAATCTCACAGAAGTTGTTCTGGATACCAGGTTTGGGGAAAACACTGCAGACGATATCTCTTTTGGGATACCTGTATGAATACCGTGCCATCTCGGGACCACACTTGGTGATCGTCCCAAAGTCAACCCTCCATAACTGGATGAACGAGTTCAAGCGGTGGTGCCCCATCCTGAAGGTGGTCAAGTTTCATGGCAACCAAGATGAAAGGGCTTATCAATTACGTGAACTGCTTGTCCCTGGCAAGTTTGATGTGTGTGTGACGTCTTATGAGATGGTCATCAAGGAAAAGAACCACTTCAGGCGCTTCCACTGGCGGTACGTTATCATCGATGAGGCCCACAGGATAAAGAACGAGAACTCCATCCTCTCAAAGGTCGTGCGCATGCTGAGGACCAACTACCGGCTGCTGATCACGGGCACTCCGCTGCAGAACAACTTGCACGAGCTGTGGGCCCTGCTCAATTTCCTCCTGCCTGAGGTGTTTGCATCTGCAGAAAAGTTTGAGGAGTGGTTCAGCCTTGGTGACGGTGGAAAGGAGAAGGAGGCAGAGGTGGTGCAGCAGCTGCACAAAGTGCTGCGGCCCTTCCTGCTGAGGCGTGTCAAGTCCGACGTGGAACGCTCGCTTCCACCCAAGAAGGAGTCCATCCTGAAGATTGGAATGTCTCAGATGCAGAAAAAGTACTATGCTGCCCTCTTGCAGAAAGATATCGAGGCCCTGAATGGCGGAGCTGACCGATCCCGCTTGCTTAACATCGTGATGCAGTTGAGAAAGTGTTGCAACCACCCATACCTGTTCCAGGGAGCAGAGCCAGGCCCGCCATACTTCACGGGTGAACACCTGGTCGACAACTCTGGGAAGATGGTGATGCTGGACAAGCTGCTGCCAAAGCTGAAGTCCCGGGGCTCCCGAGTCCTAATGTTCTCCCAGATGACTCGGATGCTGGACATACTGGAGGACTACTGCCTGTTCCGGGGCCATGTGTACTGTCGCATTGATGGCAACACCAGTGGGGAGGACAGGGAGGCAGCGATTGATGAGTTCAACCGGGAGGGCACCAGCACGTTCGTCTTCCTGTTGTCAACTCGTGCCGGTGGCTTGGGAATCAATCTGGCAACAGCAGATGTCGTTGTGCTGTATGACAGTGACTGGAACCCACAGATGGATTTGCAGGCAATGGATAGGGCACACAGGATCGGGCAGAAGAAGGAGGTGCAGGTGTTCCGCTTCTGCATAGAGAGCTCCATAGAGGAGAAGGTCATCGAAAAGGCATACAAAAAGCTGCGTCTTGATGCCCTGGTCATACAGCAGGGACGGCTGACTAATGACAAAAACAAGAACGCCAAGGTCAGCAAGGACGACCTCTTGTCGATGGTCAGATATGGCGCAGAGCTGGTGTTCTCATCCGATGCCTCGAGCATTACAGAGGCTGACATTGATGTGATCATCGCCAAGGGTGAAAAGGATACGAAGGAGCTCAACGAGAAGATGAGTGCTTTCACGGACAATGCTGTCAAGTTTGCTTTGGATGGTGGTTTGTCTTTGTACGACTACCGCTCAGAGGAAGAAGACAATGGGAATTTGGACCTGAAGCAGTTCATAGGCAACAACTGGATCGACCCCCCCAAGCGCGAGCGCAAGAGGGTAATGAACTACAGTGAGAGCGACTACTACAAGCATGTCATGAAACACCCCAAGTCTGATCGGGTGTCGGGTGTGCGCTTGCCAAAAATGCCTCAGCTTCAAGATTTCCAATTCTTCAACGTGGAGCGGCTAACTGAACTCTTCGAAAAGGAGAACAATTATGAGATCTTCAAGCACACCCAGAAACAAGAAGAGCAGGCCAAGTCTCAAGGGGCGGGGGAAGAGGAGGTGGTGGCTACGCCTGGCCCCAACGATCCCCAGCCCCTCACTGAAGAAGAAGTGGCAGAAAAGGACCTGCTCTTGGAGTCGGGTTTCAGCAACTGGAATCGCCGGGATTTCAACGCGTTTTGCCGAGGGTGCGAAAAGTACGGCAGGGAAGATATCGTCAACCTGACAAAGGAGATCGATGGCAAGACGGAAGAGGAGGTGGTCGCATACAAGACTGTGTTCTGGCAGAGGTACGAGTCCCTGAACGACTGGGAGAGGATCGTGAAAAACATCGAGCGAGGCGAGCAGAAGATCCAGAGGCAGCACGACATCATGAAGGCGATAAATGCCAAGTTGGAGAGGTACAAGAATCCGTGGCTGGAGCTGAAGATTCAGTACGGAGCGAACAAGGGGAAGGCCTATACCGAAGACGAGGACCGTTTCATCATATGCATGGTGCACAAGCTGGGGTACGGATCGTGGGAGGATCTCAAGGCGGAGATCCGCAAGAACTGGCGCTTCCGTTTCGATTGGTTTTTCAAGAGCCGGACACCTCAGGAACTTGCGCGCCGGTGTGAGACTCTCATCAGGTTGATTGAGCGTGAACACGAAGAAATCGAGCTGCACGAGCGGGAGGAGAGCAAGAAGGCGACCTCGAAGAGAGGGTCGAAGACGAGTGAGAGCAGCGGCGGGTCCAAGAAAAGGAAGAGCCAGGCGGGTGCTGGGAGTGTGCCACCCAAGAAGGCGAAATGAAAGTGGGGGATTTGTGCATATGGCAAGAACTGTGGGAGTCTTCTGATTTTTTATTCCAGTTTGTGTCGCAATTGAACGTTTGTGCTGGGCGTTGCTGTAGAGTTTTAGCCCAGAAGCTTGCGCCTGTGAGTGTTTCAGACATACAAACGCAAGCAATTGTGAGCACATAGCTTGTCGAGGTGGACCGTGTAAAAGAAGACGGCTAATCTTTTATTGCAGGACACATCCCTGACCCGCAGACTTGGGAGCCCTACCTTGTGAATTACAGGAGTGCCACTCTGCTCTATATTGTGGCCATAGGGCAAGTGCACGCTGTGCTGCCACAGCTCATAGCACAAGCGTCACACCATCACCATGCGTCAGTCAGCTGCAGCTCTCTTCTTCCTGTATACTGTCGTGAAGATTAGAGTGCATCTTCGATCACTGCTTTTACAGGTTGCCGGCAAGAAGCAGGAGGAGAGACGAGCGTCCTGGAGACGAAGAAACGTTTTACATGCACGTATGCCCATCATCGCTGATGTGAAAAGGCCCCACAATGCCTCGGCATGGGTTTGTGAAGGATTCCATCAACCAGCAGAAACCAGACGGGAGCCTCTTGCTTGGTGATTGTTTTGGAAGCTTGTACACATGCTTTCCGGCCCGAGGTAGGTGACGTGCGAAATCTGGCAAGAGGCTCCAGCGCTGCAGCTGTGCGGCCTCAACCATCGCCTGTGGCAACGACCGAGGAGGGAAGAGCATCTGCCCCTGATCTTAAGGACAGACATCCAGAAAAGCACTAAAGCACCAAAGTGAAGCTCACCTGCCGAGCCACTGCATTGGCTGGGATTGTTGTGCATCTACACAAACTCACCCTTGCTTGCTGCACCCGCACTGCCACAGGGGACTGCTAGCTTGTTGCAGCTGGTGAGATCTCAGAACAAGACAACGTTGGGTGGATTAGGATAACGAAAATCCAGGAATTCTACAGGCCGATGCCCAATGGCCCAGGCCAGCACACAGCCGATCATACTTGCACAGCTTACATGTGAAACACCCAACATGGCCCGGCAGGGTTGTTCCAAAAGCACCTATTTTGTGTGTCTAGCAATTCCATATTTCTGCAGTAGGGAGCTTTGCTGCTGTTCACTCTAGCACCAGGGTAGTCTTTGCACCTCTAGTCCACCTCAAGTCCAGCACGATCCAGCGCCTCTGCCCCCTCTCCCCCCCCCTCTCCGTATTTACGTGTCTCTGCGTCAAGACTTGGTCCTACCACAGCTGTTGCAAGTCACCTACCACGTCAACAGTGACTGCAACCCTAACTTAACTTGACAATGCGCCATGTGTCGTCGCAGCGCTTCTTGTCTCCAGGACTGCTCCCCCAAATCTGACAGGGCTGCAGCACTGACATCACCGTGCTGTCAAGCAATCCCTGAATTAGTAATGTAGCTCTCTGCTGCATGGTGCTTAACACTGTAGGTTGCCTGCTGCACGCCAGCAAGGAGCAGCTCTCAAATCTCTGTGCCGTCAGGTATGACCGCCCTACTCAAGATGACCACAATCCCTGACCTAATAATGTATCCCTCATCCTCGCACTGCTTCTCATCCACCCCCTCCTTGTTGATGATCTTACAGTTCTTGCCCACTCTCGCATTCTTGTCAACGATGGCGTTGCATATTACTGTGTTGTCGCCGATGCCCAGAGGCACACCCCCCTCAGCCAGCTTGGCCTGCCGCTCCTGTTCACCTTCGTAAAAGTCGGCACCCATTATCATGGCGTCCTTGATGATGCAACCACGTCCAATCACGTTTCTGAGCCCGATCACAGAGTGGTGTATGGTGGACTGCTGGATGCTGCACCCGTGGCTGATCAGTGCCTCTGTGATTTTGCAATCGTCGATCTTCGTTGGCTGCAGGCCCCGCGGCGATGTGTATATGGGCGACTCAGGGTCGTAGAATTCGAATGCCGGCGACTGTCACACAGAATAGCCGAGATCATTCAGATGGAGGAACATGAGTTGGCGCCCCAATCAGAGCGAAAAAGAACGGAAGGATGCACGGAATGTGAGTTGACAGTCATGATGCTGCATGGCGAGCATCGCCCCCAAAATGGAAGACAACATGTTTCCACTCACAGTTATCCAACAAAACACAAGAATGGCTAAGCAGCCCATCCACATGAATGAGTCACCTCCATGGTCCACCCACGAAGAAATAGATTTGCACAATATCGATGATCGGATGGCACTGGCATTTGCAAAAAAAGCGGACAAACAAAAGGCCTATAGTTGGTTTTGCAATGCAGCACACCCAAGAACCTCTGAAACACAACCAACTTGGCACTCATTTCCCCTACGTCAGCTGTGAGGGCCAAGTTGGCATCGAAGAACGAACTGATGGTCCCAATGTCCTCCCAGTAGCCATCAAAAAGATATGCGTTCAAGTAGTAGCCCGCTTCTTTGGCACCAGGAATGATCTCATTCCCAAAGTCGTTAGCATTCTGGAATTTGTTGTTCAGAAGGTCCAGGAGCACGTCCTTCTTGAACACGTAAACGCCCATCGATGCGATGAATGGCATCTCTTCAGCCCTCTGAGGATCCAAACCTGCCGATGCAGGAACCCCAGCCGAAAGGAGTTATGAATCACACGATCATCACAACAATGGACTGGGTCGTAGAGACAGGGACAGTCAACTAAGAGAACTGTTTAGGCTGCACACATCCCCAAACACAATATCATGATCTGTTGTGAAGGAAGGTCAAATCAGAGGGATGTGTGAGCTGGACGAAATGATTTACTTATCTGTGATACACATATGATGAGGATATTGTTGTAACAGGCCCACAAGATAAGTGCCAAAGGAAGCAACACTGTGGGGACAGCATGAGGATGACACCATTGACACAAATATGTCTTGAAGGAAAGTGGACCAGGTGACCCAGAGACTGCAAGGATGATTGTTCGAAAAAGAGCAGGGACAAAGTACACATGATGGCATCACAACAGGTTACGCTCCACGCTGGACAGGCAGGACTCTGGGGAAGATGCTTGGCAAGTGCCGCCCCTCTATACCTTGCCAAACTGCAGACCATTGGTTCGGTCATGCATAAAAACATTGTCTCCAAACTAGCCAACACCAATTTCTTGCCCTGTTCACACCACTCACAACCAAAATGCCTACATCTGTCCAAGGGTCACTATCTCAGGACGAATCCGAAGGCGAGTAGCAATGGAAGGGCTGTTTTGTAGGCACGCAGAAGCCACACACGCACAATCCCACTGGTAGAATGGGACACGGCACAAAAAGAAACCTCTCTTGGGCAATGCTAGCTACATTTTTTACATACCAAGAATGGCTGTGTCGACCTTCATCGCCTCCAGTGCGCTTCCCTTGGGCTTCTCGGCAAAGTCCTGCAAACCGAAGACCTCTTGTCAGAACTCCCACCAGTTGCACTGGAGCATTGGCATGGATAACAAACTCGAGAAACACACCAATGTATGTTGCATCCTTCCATCCACTTGGTCATTTGCAAGGTATCCTGTGCGATTCGACCTGTTCGAAATGTGCTGTTGCCCAAATCTGGGACTCCGAATAAGTGTAGTACAACAGGCATGTGGTGTTCGTTGAGTCCATGTGAAATATGCTGACAGCAGTGTTCCATGAGCAACGCTGAGCAGGACATTCTCCACTTGGTCCCCCAAAATGCACATCATCACTAACACAACGTTGCCATCGCTGCCACCATGACTGTGTGCAACCCACGTTTCAACTGTGCTTACCACAACCCTTGCCATGTCATCAACCTTCATCAGCCCAAAGTCAGATGCTCTATCAACCCCGCAGGGTATGGCAGCAATCGTGATGTCTGCATTCTTGTTGACATGCTCCATAACAAATGACATGTAGTCCATTCGGTAGCTGTGAAGCAGGCAGGGAGCAACTTATGCGATACAAAACATATTTCCAAGTACTTCAAGTTAGGACCTTTCTGGAAGTTCAAAGCTGGTGTGGAAGTGGGAACTGAAAGCTGCCATTCGATCATACAGAAGCAAAACGCATGCTGGTGACAAATGGCAGCCCACAACCTTCACATGTTTGTGGTTCAGACTACTGAAGCCACACGCCATTTGCATATCCAACGGCATAGAAAATCAACAGCACCCGTACGAATCCCAGTAGCAACATCACTCCAAACGTGCACCTCAGAAAACATTGAACCTGGAGAGCTAAAATCGCCATCTCCAGGCATAAGAGTCAGGGAAGGCACTTATTTGGCCCACGGCCATAACATGGGTGCAGGTCGGATCACTGGTGATGCAAGCCACATGGGCACTCAATTGTGTAGAAAAACTTGCAACTATACCTATTTCAGCAGCCACACTATTCAACACATGCACATGCAGCTTGCAAAATACTGAGCTCAGACGCTGAAATCATGTTCCACATGGAAGAGTGTGAGGCACTTTTCCAGCAGAAAGGTGTGCATCGTACAGCCTGCATCTACTTTTCTGCGACAGCCATTCCCATGCAACTTCTTCACCATTCTGCAGCAAATCTAACCGCACAGCAAACACACTGTGGTTCTGTTGGTCTTGCAGCAGCGTCTGCATGCAGCAACAACTGGCATTGGGCATATGTATTTGGCAGCATCTTCTGCAAGAGCATTGCATTATGCACCATCAAATTTACAGGTTAGCCTGCTTGTGTGGCAACTTCTGGACATGGTTACTACCTGGGTTGATAGCATGCTCCAGACTCTACTGATCGATCCACCAACAAGGCAAGAACTGATGGAGTCAGCTGAACAAACAAGCCATAACAGACAATGCGGATGGAGCGATGGCCATCGTCGCCACCAAGAAGAAGGGCCCATGATTTGCCACTTCTGACAAACATCATTAAGATACCAAAGTTGCGGTCCAAGCCATACTCACAGGTGATCGCCAGAAAGTATGACTATGTGCTGCATCTTCCTGTTTCTCACATCATCCAGTATCCATGTGTACCGACGCACAGCATCTGCTGTCCCTTGAAACCAAGCGTGCCCTTGACCAGGCGCAAGGGAAGCTGCCAACACCTCCACATAGCCCATGTTGCGTTTCCCTGTGTATGTGATTCCTCGGTTGTATGTTCGACCCACATGCCGGTTGAGGGAGGTGGAGTTGTACTGCGTCAGGACGTAGATCTTGTTGATGCCGCTGTTGATGCAGTTGCTGATGGGAATGTCCACAAGGCGGTATGCTCCGCCGATAGAGACAGCAGGCTTAGCACGTGACTTGGTCAGTGGGTAAAGGCGTGAGCCAGCACCGCCGCCAAGGATGACAGCTGTTTGCAACAAAAATGTAGAAATGGCAGTCGGCAGCAAGAAGCAGACTGGCAACCAGGATCCCATTTAGGCCATCCCCAAGCTCTGAGCATAGGGGGCGCCATTGAATATCATGATACAGGGCATGTGTAACTTCTTGTTTTTCGCAAAGATGCACATTGGACTGTGCAGCTTATTGAAGTCGACTATCAGAGTGTATGTGTGCTGCACTTTCTGTCCTCACACTCAGTAAATGGCATTGGGAGTCTAGATCTGGCCAAAAACATGCACAAGTTCTGTTCCTTGCAGATCAACGCAATGCCGCACGGAAACTCTTGTTCGCATTCGGCCTCCCTTTTCCCCGAATGAACCTGCATTGTGCTGCTCAGGAGATTGAAACAGGAAAGCGTCGCCCCCAAGATCCAGACCATGTGCTGCTCAGGACACTGAAACAAGAAAGCGTCTCCCAAGATCCAGACCATGCCTAGCAACATGCCTGCCCGCTCTGGACATATCCTGGCAGTCAACACCCACCCGAAACGGTGTTCGCGATAAGTCGCTGTGTCTGACTCTCTCTGGCTGTTTCCGAAAATACCGGCTTCTCGATGACAGCCTCAACGAGACGGGCAGTTGACCTGCGAACAAATCACGACGCACAACTCGTCTGGTCACGACAGCAAGAAGAGAGCTCATGCACGCAGCCGCATGTGCGCCGGCCCGCCACTCAACCAGGACTCATGGCTCGTCACAGAACGCCTTGCAGATAACGAGATGTCCTCTGTGCAGTCACGATTGGGTCACCACTGGGTCACGCAGGCATCCACGCGAGCGTGCCATGTCGCGGTGGTTCTCGGAAGCGCCAAACCCTAAACACAATCAGATCGCGCAGGTCGAGGCGCGGAAACAAGCAAGCATAAAGGAAGCATCGTCCCGAATTGCCCAAACGCTGCCCTGTCGAGAGGCATCGACGATGCCTAGCGCCCTGCGATGCACAACCGGCAGCGCCGCGATCCGGGCGAACCTGATGGGCCGGGTGCGCGCCGCTCTGCGCAGCCGAAGGCTCCTGCCCCGGAAGGATGAGCCAGTGAGGTCCAAGGCCGGGCATCCCAGACGCCCCGGAAGCGCCGCGCCCGACAGCTCGGAAGGCGCCATGTTGCGCTGGCCCGCCGCCATCATCCCGTCCCCACCCCCCCGGGGAGCAGCCGCTGTGGTGGGGACAAGGGCGGGGAGGTGCTGGTGCCGGAGCGGCGTTCCGAAGCGCCGTTTCAAGCGTTGACCACGTGGAACTGGCCAAGCATCCGACCAGTCCGGGGCAGGCAAGTGGCGACTGGCCTTGGGGGGGCCCATCAACGCGTCCCCAGCGTGAACTTTATGAGGACCCGCGTCAGCATGTGGTGGAGTCTGTGGACTGCTTGGCATTTTCTTTCTTTTCCCAAACCAAGAAAGCTTCGGGATAATGGGCGGACAATCACCAACACCTTCTGGGAAGCCGGCTTGCAAGTCTCGACTCTGGCGCCCTTCGTCTTTGGCGCGCCAGCAGCCAGACACGCGCTTTCCTTGGCCCCGCGGATGTGCTTTTTCGTCCAGTCCCACAGCACCGTGGCGGCTGTGGCCATCACATTTGTCCCTCACCAAGAAACCGTCTTCGTGCAGGGAAACGCAGAACATGCCAAAAAGTAATTTCACAGGATACTCACAACACCAATGCATTTCCTTTGTTCCTCGCGCCTGCTTCTCGTGACGTAAGGGCACCCCCGCGTTTGTCGGGGGTCTTGTGTGACATCGCCTCACTCCGCCAACAGGGATAAATGGCCCGAGCCCAGTATCCGACCTGACGGTTACGTTGCTGCGTGCCTGGACTGACCACAGGCAAGCGGGTCGCCGCGTGTCGACCCGCCAGGCACCTGCCCCTGCCCCTGCCCCTGCCGGCGTCGGGTGTCCCTCGGTCTCCGGTCGCTGCTAGTCGCGTGCACGAACTCCGAGGCGCCATGGATGAGGACACTGCGGCCAAGCGATACTGGAATGGTGAGCACGGCTGTTGAGAGGCGATCCCTATTCGCCCCCTGGATGGCTGCGATCCCCGCGGCTGGACGCCACCAGCGTGCAAACGGCAATCCGGCAGCGGGGCGTCATCGCTTCACTCGCGGCTGTGCTCGGCGGGTCTCGGCCTGTCGCACTACCCGTCCCTTCCCAACCCCCGCCCGGCATTTCGCCTGAAGAGTGAGCGAGCGCCGCTTTTGCCTCCGCGTGTCGTGGAATGTCCGAGATCTTGCTCCGGTACACCGGTGTCGGCAATACCCCGCGGTGAGGGCGCCGCCTCTGCGCGGACGGTCCTGCTGACCGCGTGCTGCCTGCGTGCCAGTCGTCCGGAACATCTTCAGTTCAACCGAGGGCGACGACGCGCAGCCGGTGCACGCCGTGCACGCGGTGCCTCGTGGCGTGTGCCCGCCGCGCGAGTCCGTCAAGGCCTCGGATCTCTTCATCGCGGCCCTGAAGAACGAGGGCGTGAAATGGGTTTTCGGCGTGCCGGGCGAGGAGAACCTGGACTTCGTGGAGTCGATGCGCACGCAGACGGACGTGAAGCTGGTAATCACGCGCCACGAGCAGGCAGCGGGGTTCATGGCATCGACGGTCGGGCGCCTCACTGGTGAGCTGGCGAACGAGCCCAACCCGCAGATCGGCTTCCATCCCAATGGGTGCGCAGCGTGCGACATGCCGCGCCGCCGATCGCCTGTCGAGCGCTTTGCGTCGCCTCTTGTGCTGCGTCGCCCGCCCTCTTTGGCGATTTTACCAATCGTGCGTCACTCAATCCGTCGGCGGCCGCACGCCATCCGGCACCGACGGGCGGGCGAGGGTAGCGCCGCAGGGTGTCGTTTGGGAGCGAACGGCACACAGGCCGGCGTATCCTTGCACTCCCGCTCTTGCCCTTGCACCGAAAGCCGGATCCCACAATCTCAGGCATCCCCCCTTGACCTGGCTGGGCGTCTGCACTCCCAATTTTTGTTTTCTTATTTGGAAGGCCTGGCCGGTGCGCAGGCAAGGTGGGCGTGTGCCTGTCGACCCTGGGGCCTGGCGCCACTAACTTCAGCACCTCCGCCGCCTACGCGTACCTGGGCGCCTTCCCCATGCTGATGATCACGGGCCAGAAGCCCATCCTGAAGAGCAAGCAGGCGTCGTTCCAGATCGTGGACATTGTGGAGATGTCGAAGCCCCTCACCAAATTCGCAAAGCAGGTGAAGTGACTGCCACTGGGGCCATCGTTGTTGCGATGATGGACCATTCGTTACGCGGCGCCAAACTGACTCCACGAGAAGGCCGACAAGGCTGGATGTAAAGTACCAGACGCCAAGTTGATTTTGCCTGCGTTGGGGCGGATGCATTGGCGAGTGCAGCACACAATTTGAAGTGCGTCGCACAACTTGGAGTGCGCCATGATCTTCACGTCTTTTTCTTGATTTTTGTGCAATGAGTGAATAACGGATTTATGATGGCGACGACTGTGGTACTATTGAGTGCTTCTAAAACAGGAACAAGCAGTACTCGCAATGATGATGCGATAAAGGTATCAGTGGCTGTGCTTCACCCTGGTGGGGTTGACGACTTGCTGCACATGGGGGCAAATGAAGCAGGCCATACTGCATTGAAATGAAAGATAGTGCACATATTGCATCCATGCTGTGCAACGTGCCTCAATTGTAACACTACCAGTTCCATCCTTATGCTTTCTGACCAGCATCAGGCTCAGTTTTGGTTTCATAGAAAGTAGATGGCCTTCATTGTCTTCATCGCTGGTGAAACTTCTGCTCTTGCACCGCAGTGAAGTTTAACACTTTGTGGCAAACATAGTCAAAGGGGTTCCAAGTCTGGTGCAGCAGTGTGGACGTGTTCATAGGTGCAATGCCGCAGGAAAGCTGACCCATGTGGCTGCACGTGCAGATTGTGAATGGTGGCCTGATTCCCTCTCTAGTAAGAGAGTCCATCCGGCAGGCTGAAGAGGAGCGGCCAGGGGCAGTACTGCTGGAGCTTCCAGAGGACATCGCAGGAATGCAGGTGGGATACCGTTTTATATGGTGTGGAGACGTTCTGTGGCAGAGATATGTTTGCTGTAATTGTTCGCAACAGGACCGTTGCTGCTGTGCTGGGAGTCTATGCACTCTTGGTGCACAGCATAGAGATCAAGACCCTGGCAATGCAGGGTGCCAGATTCTACTATTTTTGCATTCTGTTTTTTGGGTAATTTTTATTTGTCTTATGTTGTATTTTTCGTAAGGAATCTTAAGTGATACAGAGCAAATTTTGCCCTTTTTGACCAAAAGCAATCCTGGCATCGTTGTCCGTTTTGCATGCTGTGGCTACCCAACACTTTGATCTATTCCTGTTAGGTTCACAAGGAAGAGGCATCGCTCTATAAAATCGACAAGGTGCGGCGTCCTGTTGCTGAAGAGAAGGCCATCACTGCTGCTGTGAAGATGATCCGCTTTGCAAAGCACCCACTGCTTGTCATTGGCTGCGGTGCCAATCGCAAGCTAACGAGCAACATGCTGAGGCAGTTCATTGACCAGACGAAGATCCCTTTCCTTGACACACAGATGGGGAAAGGTGAGCTCGACGCGCATGAAAACAACTGCACTGTACCATCACATGTTAGTGTGCATCGATATGCAGAAGGCTGCAATTGCTGCAAGGTGTAGTCCAGCAGTGTTGGGGATTGCTGCTTTTGTTTTATTCTATGCCCTGAAGCATGAGGCTGCAATTGCTGGAAGGTGTAGTCCAGCAGCGTTGGGGATTGCTGCTTTTGTTTTATTCTATGCCCTGAGGCATGAGGTTGATGGATTAAGGTCAATGTCAAGGTCAAGGTCTATGCATTAACAGCTGGAGCGCTTGAGACCATGGCATACCTGGGATGATACGCAAGATGTCTGTTTCTGCATGCAGGCATTCGATGCCCTGGTGTCACAGGGCTTCAGCAATTTTGCATAGTCATTGCTATCAGGAAGTCGATGGTTCCACCATGAACAAAACAGAGTCCTGTAGATATCAACACATCTTGAAGGGAAACACTAACCGGGACAATGCACCTTGCTGTAGAAGATGCTGTGTGAGGGTCCACCTTCTTTGTAGGTGTCACCGCCATTGCAGATGCAGGAGAGCAAGCAGACAACATGGACAGCCTTTATAGAGAACAACAAGCTTTCATGAGCAATTAACCCATGCTGAGCACTGACCACAGGATCTGTTCAAGATCGATTGAAATCATAAGAGTGTGCTCTCAGCACATTGGCATAGAGCAGGGCATGTCATAGATGTCGGTGCGTAGTCGCTGTCCAACACCAAGGAAAATGCATCTTGCACAAAGATCCAAGGGTGCATCCTATTGCACCCAGTTTTTCTGCCCCAAGGCAGCCCAATTCGCTATGGGCAACGATTTGCTAATTGACTGTCAATGCCGTTGGGAAGAATTGATCCATTGCAATGCATTTGTCATGCAGGAGTTGTGGATGAACGACACCCATCCTATGTTGGCACTGCAGCCATCAGCAGCTCTGACTATGTCCATGCCTGCATCAACTATTCGGACCTCATCATTGTGGTGGGCCACGATGTGGTGGAGAAGCCTCCATTCTTCATGCACCATGAGGACACCACAAAGGTCATCCACATAAACTACTTCACTGCACAAGTGGACCAGGTTTACTTCCCACAGCTGGAGGTTGTGGGCGACATTGGCAATGCAATCTGGCAGCTCAAGGAGAAGCTGAAGGAGGAGCCACCACTGCAGTGGGATTTGAGGTGAGCTTGGAAAACATGGTTTTGCAGGCACAAGTGCATTCAGCAGTAGGGAAACAGAGCGATGGGGATGTCCGCAATGTCATTGTGAATCAATATGATGTGAAAGACACTGATTGTTGCAGTTGATCACCACAATGTTTGTGGCTTACGCAGCAGCCGATGGCAACCATCTCAGTTCCTTTGCATGGCAAAAGGGTACTTTGCGCAAGAATGCCAAGTTTTGGCAGTCAATGTAGTCAACAGAGTGGGCCATACAAGAGCAGGTTCAGTTCAATGGCAGAGATCGGTATCTCTTAGCTTTATGTTGTCCATTGATATGTCCCTGTCTATCTTTTGTCCAGTTGATTTGCTTCCTTTCAACTTGCTCAGGAGCCACTGATGTTACCATGATGAAACCCCACTTGGGTGGGGCTGGTGAGCAAGCAAACTGGTGCTGGGTATTCTAATGGGATATTTAGCAGTCATCTCTGTTTTGCTTGCATTCGACTGCAGGCTTGTGCCCTGAATGCAGTTAGTTGTTATGAGTGCCTGGCATTGACGAAGGATTGAAAATGCAGTGGTTTATCGTGGTTGTCAAACACAGCCAATGACAATGTGTGCAGGTACTTCAACTACGTCCGGGAAGAGTTTGCCAAGAACCTGTTGATCGGAGTGGATGACACTTCCTGTCCACTGTCGCCCCCACGCTTTGTCACTGACATCAGGCGTGCTATGCCCGAGGATGGCATTCTGTGCCTGGACAATGGGCTGTACAAAGTCTGGTTCGCCAGGAACTACAAGGCCTACCAGCCCAACACGCTGCTGTTGGACAATGCCCTTGCCACTATGGGGGCGGGCCTGCCTTCAGCCATTGCTGCCAAGATGGTGCACCCTGAGAGGACAGTCGTGGCTGTTGCTGGTGACGGTGGATTCATGATGAACTCGCAGGTGCTTGCAGAATTCTTCCTCGAGTGCAAGTGTTGTAACAGGACAAAACACCCCCCTTCGGCTGCTGGGTACATCACATCCCAGATACAAGCATCACATCCACTCGAAAATTTTTTGTGACCCCCCTGGAAGGTGCTTGCATGTGCGATTGAATTTGAATAGCGCAATGGTTAACCTACATCGAAGATACGTTCCAGTAGGGAGTACCAGTGCCTCCTCAACGGCAACTCGCATCTTGCTGAGAGGTCTCAAAAATCCTCGAGTTGCCTGGAGACATGTCTCTGTGCCGCTTCATTTCAGACCCTCCAAATTGCCTGCTTCCCTTCTCAAAACGCGTGACCCTGTGGGTGGCCTATGCATTTGTAAAATGCACATCGAAAGTGTGCATATTCACAATGATGGGGACAAATTTCTGTGTCTATAATCGTCCATATCTCGTATGTGATGCTCAGATGGATAGTGCTTTCCTTGTGAGTCATGTCCTGATCGTTCACCTGTGTTGCATGACAAATATGCGACGATGCCATTTGCTTGCAGGACATGGCGACTGCTGTGATGCTGGACTTGCACATCGTAGTGATCGTTTTGAATGACAATGCTTACGGCATGATCAAGTGGAAGCAGGCGGGAATGGAGTTCGGTGACTTCGGGCTGGACCTCCAGAATCCCGACTTCGTGAAGTATGCTCAGTCCTATGGTGCCCATGGATACAAGATCAGGTCCTGCGAGGAGTTCAGCACGTGCCTGCAGCATTGCATAACGACCCACGGTGTGCATCTTATTGAGCTGCCGATCACCTATGCCATCAGTGACATGCTCCAGGTGGGTTTCTATGTGCATCAGCTTGTTTTGAAGCTCACCACTTCGTGTCTTGATGTCTCCACTTCAGCAAGAATCCATGGTCTGTACATACCTGCACAGGCACAACAGCACCCTTGTGCTATGCAGCATGCAGTGAAAGGCAGTTACTAAGCGGGAATACTTGTTTCTTACCCATTGCTCATTGTGCTGCCCTCCTTGCTTGATTTGTGCATATATGGTTTATGTTAACCGCTGGTATGTGCATGCTGTGCATAACCAGTGCATGTCTTGCATGCCTTGTCCAGTACCAGTATCCACTGCAAACAGGGACACACACTGTGGCACGCATGTGTTTTGTGACATCGGAACATTGCATGCCATTGTGGGCAGCGAACAGAAGAAATTAGCGATGCCTTAGGCACTTTCCTTCTGGTGAAGTTTTCAGTTCTCGTATACAATAGAAGCGGGCAGCGTGAACGTTGTGATTGAAACAGACAAGAACACACAGCACTGAACAATGCAGCAGGTCAAGGAATTGTGTGTCGAATTGATTCCATCCACAGGTGGCCAACTTGAAAACACACCTGAAGGAGAACTTGAAGACGCCAGAGGAGTACCTGGCGACTGCCCCACCCATCTCTGCATCTGCTGAACCTGCCGATGCTAAGCCCAGAGCCTTCACGGAAGAGGAAGATCCCAACTGCCAGGAATATCCATTCTACATTGGCAACAGGCCGGAGAAGCCCAACACCGACCTCAAGGTGGCGGACAAGTACACAGGTACTTGCAGCAGTGTGTTCTGCTTTGATTGTCTTTGCCCCCATGTAGTCATAAGGAGTGATGACTGTATGCTGCACTGGCCGCACCTAGAAATATGCGCAATGCAATTGCTGTACATATAGGAGAAGTGGTCAATACATTGGATTGGATATTTTTGGGCTAGCAGTGTGTCTGAGATTCCTTGTTGGCTGACAGCAGCTGCTTGCAAATTCTCCTTAGTATGGATTGAGAACAGCACAAAAAGCAGTGCATGGCACTTCGTGTTAGGTGCATGTGAACACGTTGCTATGTTAATGCAGTGAGAATGCCTGTTGTGTTGGTCTATGCCTTGTGCTTGGCTCAAACAGTTGCCCAGGGTGTGTCCAGGAAGAAAAATTGTGCCAGGCCATGCAATGCCCGCCTCCCTGAAGCGAGTGTGTGCAGAACTCTTAGCATCACAGCAGTGATTTTGTTGCAGTCCCTGGCCGCATGATGAGAATCAGCGAGAAAAACGGGCGATGATGAGTAAGAAACCTGTTTTTGGAGGCTGTCCAATCCATTCATTAAAGCCATTGTGCACTGATTGACATTGCTTTGCAATTGTGGTGTGAACAGGCAAGATTGCATACAGGGTGGCATTGGCACATGTCAACGACATCGAGCGGGCCATTGAGCTGGCGGTGCAGGCGTTCCCCAAAATAGCAGCCCTGTCATCCTGGCAAAGGAAAGAGATCCTTGAGCACTGCGTTAATGCTTTCAAAGCCCGTTTTGATGATCTGGCACGGGCCCTGTGCATTGAAGCTGGCAAGCCCATCAAAGACTCCAGGGGCGAGGTCACCAGGCTGATTGACACTTTCACCATTGCTGCTGAAGAATCGACCAGGATATATGGCGAATGGGCTCCCATGGATATAGCCAAGAGGACTGATGGCTTCATGTCCATCACAAAAGGGTTCCCAATCGGTCCAATCTCCATGATTTCACCCTTCAACTTCCCCCTGAACCTAGCAGCCCACAAGATTGCTCCAGCACTTGCGGTCGGGTGCCCATTTGTGCTGAAGCCCGCTTCCAGGACTCCAATTGGTGCCCTGATCATCGGTGAGTAGGCCCACTTGGCAACGTGCGTAACGACCAGAGCTCAGTTTTGAAGCGAACTGTGGGACATGATGCCTGCCACGCTGACAGCTGATCGCACTGTTGTATTTTGTATATGTTTGTGTCAACCACGTGTGTGTGATACACAGGAGAGATCCTCTCCAATGCTCCGCACCTGCCTGAGGGGTCCTTCTCAATCCTGCCATGCTCAAGGGATGGCGCTGACCTGTTCACGGTGGACGAGCGTTTCAAAGTCCTTTCATTCACGGGATCCCCCTCAGTGGGTTGGCCAATGAAGGCGAGGGCAGGGAAGAAGCGTGTCGTCCTGGAGCTGGGTGGCAATGCTGCGTGCATCGTTGAGGACGTTCGAAAGCCAGAGGACATCGACGTAATCGTGGAGAAGGTCATCCACGGGGCGTTCTACCAGAGCGGCCAGTCGTGCATCAGCGTCCAGAGGCTGTTGGTCCGACAGGACTTGTACGAGGGCCTCAAGGAAAAGTTGGTCGCCAAGGTTTCTTGCTTGAAGAAGGGCGACCCTCACGACGAGGACACGTTCATTGGCCCGCTGATTGCAGTCTCCGAGGCGGGCCGGATCCAGCAGTGGGTTGATGAGGCCGTGTCTGCGGGCGCAAACCTGCTGTGCGGTGGACAGCGTGACGGGGCTCTGTACGATGCCACGATTCTTGAGAACGTCCCTGGGAACTGTTCAGCGTACAACGACGAGGCGTTCGGACCACTTCTGTGCATCGAGAGCTACACGCACTTCAAGGGTGCCGTTGCCCGCGTGAATGACTCCGTCTTCGGACTGCAAGCGGGCGTGTTCACGCATGACATGGACAAGGCGTTTTATGCGTTTGAGCAGCTGGAGGTGGGCGGCGTGGTCATTGGCAATGTGCCCAGCATCCGTGTGGACGCCCAGTCGTATGGCGGCGTGAAAGACAGTGGCTTTGGGCGAGAGGGCGTTCGATACGCCATGAAGGACTACATGGAGGAGAGGGTGATGATGATGGTGAATGTTGGGAAGGAAATGTGAAGCGCGAAGGAGCAATGCTTGGAAACGATGTGCTGAAGTGGAGCGAGGCTGGCGGTAGAGTCGATGGGCGCCGGGCGACCCAGCACCTCTGGGGTTGCGTGCAATGTGGGCTTTGATAGGAGGAACGAGTTCTTGCGAATGGTACGAGTGGGGGCTTTTGCTGGCGCTTTTCTTTGCGCCTGCTTCCTAGTTTGGCAAATGAATGCCTGGCGGCCAAGATATGATGGCTGCAGTCGACATTGGGCAGAGATTGTTTCCCTACATGCACGACATTGTACTTGTTGTCATGGCACCTCATTTTCATGTAAACTGTATTCGTGTGGGTGTCCAAGTCCTGCGAGAAGATCGGTTAGATAGCATCAATGTGCAATGGACTTGCATGGGGCCGGGTAGTACTAGGATGATAAGCTATCAAGCAAGCAATTGCAGCGAACGTAGCATCACACGAAATATTGATATATCAACATAAGGAGCAAGGGAAGTGCAGCACCCCACCCACCCACCCCGACCCCGCAACCCCTTCCCCCCAAACCCTTTTGCATTCATCAGCACCGTATGTTACGTGGCCACGATGGTCCTGGGCTGAGCCGGCAGTGCGTCACCATATTGGCTAGATGTTTTTCACATGCCGCCAGAGACACCACGTTTGGCGACGGGATTCGTGGAGAGCGCGTTGCGGACATTCTGTGAGAGCTGACGCCCGTCGTCGCTTTGCAGATACGAGAAAAGTGCTTTTCCACTCGTTGGCAAATTTTCGTGACAGGTGCACAGATGCGCTCCTGGTCTATTCAACCCTTCCCCGTTTTGAAATTTCAGCGTTACGATTTTTGCACAACCACCTGCCTGCCCATTCGTATCCCATTCATATCCCATTCGCCCCGTTCGGAGCTCATATGCCATAATACCACGTGTGAGCACCATACGGGGGCTCTCCCAATCCAGCCAGGGACGGAACTGTCCGATAAATGTGGTCCATTGCGCAGAGGCATGCTCATTGTGGAGTGATCAAGCCACAGAGATGGCATCTGCCAGCCGAGATGCAATTTTTTGGGGAGGGGATTGGCTGGCGTTGATTAAAAAAGCCGCTGGTGGCCATCCTACAAAAGTCAGTCCAGGTTCGCGGGGTGTGCCCAAACTCCTTGCGCCTCCGTTGTCTTGGCTGTGCCCCCGCCCCGCGGCGCCCCCAACAGCCGGCCTTCCGAGCAGTGCGCCCGGCACTGCGGCGGCCGCTGCCATGGTGGAGCTCTGGCGCCGGAGCACCCTGCAATGGGGCGACTCCTGCCGCGCGCTCGTTGCGCTCTGCCCCACCAAAACGTCCAACAGCGCCCGCATTTGCCAAGAACTGGGAGACAAAATATTCGTGACGGGCTACTGGTACAATGCAGACCTTCCCTTCCCCCTGCACCCCCATATTCCCCCGCGCCCGACCGAAGGTCCAGAGCACCGCGCGCTGCCCCACACCCCGAGGGCTTCCGGCCAACTCCAGCCGGATGCGGCGCGCCGGCAGTCCGAACATGCGCCTCCAAGCCTTCCTTCGGGGAAGGCCATCCGGCCACAGGCCTCGGGAGGGCTGGACTCGGTGGCCCGATCGTGCGGGCGTCCGGGGTGTGGGGCGGGGCCGTCAGAGCAAAGCGCGGGCCGGTCAGAGAGCGCCACCCCTGTCTGTGGATCGGATCGCCGCAGATAACACGCCTGCTTTTAAGGCTGTGGCGACGCGGGCGGTGCCGTTGTTGGCGTTTCACGCGCGGCTGTGGGTGTAGTGGCGCTGGGTTTAGGTAGGGGTGGCGGGGAGGGGGCTTGTGGAGGGACCGCAGCACTGGTCGTGGCGCGCCCACGGGATGACTGTTCCCCGCCAAAACGACAGGGAGGAGCGCGGCGACGGGTGCGGGCGGATCGATTGGCGATGCAGCCCGGGGATCCAGTCCGCCCCGCCCTTGGGGCCAGCAGAGCCCCGCTTGGCGCTCTGCGCGGCAGTAGCGGGAGGCATACCTGCCTGAGATGGCAATTGATGGCGTCGCGAAGGGATGTGGCATCCTGCTTGAAGCGTGAGAGTGAGGGCCTCTTTTGATTGCGGCGCCGGTTTTGCAGGCGCAATTGAGCGGGCGTCGACGGTGCAGCATCGTGCTTTCGTCTCTTTGCCACAATCTCCGGACGCCCAAAGGGCTGCTCGGATCAGGGCGAATGGTGCAGCGTTGGTCGGATAGGCAGCCGGCGATTGCGGCGAAGCGTAGCCATAGGTAGCAGGCAATGAGGAAGGCGCGTCGCCGTGTTGTTTTGTGCGATGGCCGACGCTGTCTGTGGCTGGACATGCACCGCGGCTTGCCTGATCGCCGCCAATACGCTGCCGTAACGAGCCCCGCAGCCGAATTCCAGCGACCCCTGCCCTGTTGGAGCGCAGGCGCTTGCCTCCATGACAGAGCCTGCGGTGGACAAGCCAGCCCAGCAGCTTTAGCCCACGGCGCAGGCGCCCATGTCGGCACAGACCAAACACTGGGTATGGACGCCTGGGGAAAGGAAGTGCATTGATGCGGGGAGGCATGCCCAGAGGTCATCCGCGAAACACTTGCGCATTGCCTGACCGCTATTCGCCAGCGGACAGTGAATGACGGGCGGCAGGGTGGCAACTGAGGCCACTGAGGCGTGCTGTGGGCACAATGGGGGCACCAACGAGGCCAGCGAATGGGATGCGGTTCTGTGGAATGATCGCGTCCTGATTGGACAGGGTGGAAAAGCCATCCGCAGATCGATTTGGCAGTGGTCCAATCCACATGAGATGTAGAACACTACCGCCGAACATCCAAACGAAGTACGGGCGAATCCCAATCCGCAGCAGGCCGGAGAATGGCCCCAGCCATGGTCCACAGCCAGGCATCTCAATCCCATTGTGTTTGTGGTGCAGGGAACCAAAGATGGTGGCGCCTGTGGTAGCACTGAATGCCCTGACGCAAGGTGCGCTGCTGGTCAGGTTCTATTGTCAGCCAACTACGAAAAGGGCGCTTGGTGCTAGATTGAGTCCATGGCTCTGTGTTGTCGTTGGTAGTGAAGTGTGCAATTGTCAGGGTGCCCTGTGTTGCCAAAATCCCCATTTTGACTCTGGACTTTGCCAAGGCCTGGCAAGCATTGTTGTCACACTATTCTCATTGTATTGCTCAAGTGGTGGCTGTAACTCACAAGGTGCTCACACCCTTCCTCCAGGCACTGGTCCAACCATCCATGTTGCTGTAGAAACATCTGAAAATAGCTTGACAGCACTGCATGAGGACTGTGTCAGGGAGGGCCGATGCTTGGTGGTGAGCCTTGGCGATGACACAGAAGTTGTTTTTGCACCAGTGCAGACACAAAAAGGTGAGGGACACAGACTGCAACCAAGCATGGAGCAGACAATGACAGTGTCCGTATCCTGTTTGCACTCTGCTTTTCCAGGATCCTTTTCAACGAAGAATTGCCATTCACCTTGGGCATAGGAGATATATCCATACCATGCTCCTGTTTGGCTGTGGTGTCGTCGTACACCATTGGAATGTAGGCAGGAAATTGGCTCCACATGGTCGCCAAACAGTGTTGCTGCCGCCATTGCTTACGATTTGAAATTTTTGGCAATCAATTGCTGGCATGCACAGTCACCTGGGTGACATCCTGCGGCCATTCGCTTTATTGCAATAGGCATGGTATGGTTGCTTGGTGTTTGGGAACAGAGGCAGTTAATGATTGTCCTCAACAGAAAGGAACAGAGGACGGGAAGAATGTATCCTTGCATTGTTTGGAGACACAATAGTCATGGCATGTGCTTATACTGAACCCACATTGTTAGACAGCATCAAAACACCAACACTCCACAGCAAATTCTCATTGATGGTCAAAAAGCCCACCAAACTCCACGTCGCCAGTCATTACGAAGGAACATATTGTGAACGTATGGTACATTGGGGCAAAACCCAACCAGGGCAAGGATATTTGTGAGAGCCTTCTTTGTACCACAGAATGGAGGCAGGCAGGGCAACTGAAGAGCATGATGGGCTGCTTGTACATCCCACCATTGGACGCTGAGTGTGCCACGCTGTGTGTTGCCATATACTGTGCTTCAAGCAATGGCCCACAGAGATTTTGCTGTGCTTGCAGTCAGGGGCGTTGCACTGCTCATCATTGCATGTCCTCTGCGCTTTGTATCCGACCCCCTGATGCATCCAAGATCAGCAGCTAGGGCATCATTGTTCAGTAATCAAATCGTTAGCCATTGACCTTCTCTCCAGTCAAATCACAAAGAATCACATTATCCCATTCTTACATGGCACCATACTCACGCTCCAACCGCTGAGCTGCCCAAAGAGCACAATAGTTGGTGGTACGGAAGATGTGAATGCGAAGATCTCCTGATGCCTTGCTGTGGAGTCGCAGGTGCCAGTCCCCATGTCCTTTTTTGGGGCTACTGTGTACTCAGGGGTGTCGTCTCCTGTGGGTCCCTAGTGTTTGAGAATGGAGGCCAGCTGCCAGCAGTCTTCGACCTCGATGAAACACTTGTGATGGCAAACTCCAGCCACAACCTGAGCCAGCGACTGGACACTGCAGCCAGGCAAATGTGAGAGAGCGATCAATGTGATGTAGGCGTTGTTTTTGCTTGCCCCACATCCCGGTCCATGAATCGTGCTTACAGAGTTCTGCCCTTGTGTGCAGCACTGGCAAGTGTCGTGTCCATTGCCTGCTGGGGGAGCACATTTGTTAATTGGTTTTTGTTGTGTCAATCAACAGGCAAGGCATCAAATCGCAGTTGGAGAGTTGCAGTGGAGCGGAGGAAAGGTACACTGCATGCTACAAGTAGCAGAGACATCTCGTCTTGCCATGCAATCGTTGCTGATATAGCTGTTCTGATGGTTGTCGTCATAGGCAAAAATACCACAATGTGCATCATTATTGATGCGCATCCACTAACCACATTTGCATCTTGTCCATGCAATGGCCATCTGGGAAGAGACAATGTAAGGCCTGCACTTCTTTCTCCTGCA